ACAACTGTAGTGAACATGAGGCCCGCGTCAACAGCGTGTGGACGCCATTACTGCTGGAGTACAGTAGACAAGATGCTGGAGAGTAAACTTAGCGAATCACAAGAAGAAGAAAAGCCAAAGGGTCGTAGTTAAACATGCAAAAGACGAGGAATTTGCTATGTATGTGCACAACAGCGCTTGCTTGCACAAGTGATTCTTCTATATTTATTCTTCAGAGAGGATATCGACGCGATCTTTTTGACACCTAGTCTACCTGTACAAGTTTGGTATAAGCACAGTGGTCAGCCTTCAGTCAGTCGTAGCTGCCTCTTTTGCCAATTGTTACCTACTACATATGCTGCATCATGTGGCACATATAGTACCTCTTGCGCACTCTCGGTGCGAACCCAACCCACTTGTTTGCTGAATGCCCGTCTGTTCGTGTTGCGCTCACAACTGAATGCCTACAACGAGATTTTCTCGACGGAAGAAAGCAACAGCGAAATCCTTGATTCCAGTACCTGATGATGCCCACAGGCGGCAGTAATTGGATTTAGCAGCGTGAAGAAGAGTTGTCTACAATATATCTCCGAGGAAAGAAATAAACTATGTTGCTTTTGATGATTCTCTACCAACTTTTTTCTCGACCCAAAGTACAAGTATCTCATCTCAAAAATGTACCGGACACACACATACAACATGATGATCACAACACCGCGGAAATCCTCGACAGGCGTTTGGGGAGAAGGTGAACTCCACAACTCCATGGCAGTCAAATGTACGATCCGATCAGTTGGTCAAGAACTGAAAGTAGGCGCACAAGCCGCTACGATTTCATTAATGTTTCACGAGGGTCACATGGTCTTCAGGCGTTCGGGGGCACCTCCAGCTTCTTCTCGATGCTCATCACTCTCCTACCGTGCGGCAGGGGACCATGTCGTTTGAAGAAACTCCTCCCACTCAACTACACCTTTTGATGGCAACGAAGACAACATTGTTACCGTATGTTGAAACGTTGCCTACTGACGGACCAAAACCATGGGCATCGTCATGTTCTATCTTATCCTCCTCGGCATCGATTGGGGGAAATAAGGCCGTCGAAAAGGGTCCTAGCGTTATCCACATGACGGTGGCCCGTGGATGGGTGATTTCGCGCAACAAGGGCGGTGGGGTGCTTCCCTTCAAATGAACAACACTATTCACGGCACATGTTTTGCATGCATCATCCCGAGACTTGTTTATGGGTGCCCCACGCGATCCCCGTAAGACAGCATACACCATACTCCAGGGCTTTCTCCCATTCATGTGTCTTTCATTTGGGCCAAGGCCTTCTCGAAGAGGTTCGAGAAAGAAGCTCCCACGTTGACGCCGGAGCACGCGGACGTTTCGAAGTACGTGAAGCCATGATCTTTGGCCCAGCACTGCCCCTCCTCTTCGCTGACCACTCGTCTCTTATCGATCTTGAAAGCAGATGGTAATGGCAAGGAGCCAGCAACGTAGAAAGCGAGCAGATGGTGATGGCAAGGAGGGCGGTTGGACAAGCCTTTGTCACAGACGGTGGTCTTGACATGCTCATACAGCCCATTTCTTGGTAAATACGAGGAAATGTGTCTTCCCTTGTATTCCGTAACTTGTACACCAAACAATGGGGGTTGCATGCATATGGAAACAAGCCAGGAAGAGCAGGATTGTACGTTGTTCAAGAAGGCATCGGACGTGGAGGGCAACGCGGGAAGAGTGGCCGCTAACTATTGTGCCACTTTTCCTGGGAAGAATGGCTGGACTTTGCTGATGACAATTGTACGTAGGGAGCGTCTGCAAGGGATATCTACAATCTTTGTTCGCTGGAGCCGCGAAGGAGCTGCTGCTGGCGGCGGCGAAAACTGTGTTGCATGCCAATGATTACCGCACGTATCACCAATCAGCGATCTGCGATGCAGGACCATCAATTCGAAAGGCTCGCCAACGGAGAAGGTCGTCGTGCGGAAATGCTACCGAAACCCTCGCCGTGCGACGTGATGTGAAACTTTCGTTCGTGTGGAATGCCCGTGGAACCCTCGAAAGCGTAACGTTCCAAACAGGCGTCTCAGCGTCCGCGACTGGACTCTCAGTAAAAGATGCTCGGGACAACCGTGGTTGGTACGTAGCAACAGTTGTGCTTATGATCCCGCTGTTTCCCCGCGCCTACGCAGTGGTGGGTGCCTGTACGAGTTCGGCTCTTTGTTGATATGAACGAACCAGATACGTAGTGCCAGATGACGCCGGGGAGCCAGCAACATAAAAAGCAGTACCAAGGCAACATACAACAACCAGTATTATAGTATAGGAAAACCGCTCGCTTCAAAGAATCGTGCGCGCGCCTTGATTGTCCACCTTATTTGCACACACAGCCATGGGAATTCCGCCCGCACCGAAGTCGGCAGCTTCTACTAGCCACTGCTCCAGCTCTTCAAAACTTGCTCGGTTGGCCACGTCGTACACCAGAACTGCCTGAACGCGTAGACAGTTGAAAGACATGACATGCACCACGTTCAAATCGGGGTTGTTTGGCGCTGTCACAGCTGCGCAGTAGCGCACGTTCTTTCAGCTTACCAAACATCAACATCATCGCAAGACAATGTGCGAGCGCTATTGTGTTGAGCTCTGCTGTACTAGCGGAAGGCTAGACCATGTCATTGATCTTCCAGTAGTAGGGGCAGGGTTGTTGTTATTGTTATCTTCACAATAATAACCGTTCTGATCTCTCTCTACCCAGTACCTTCGTATGTCCGTACTGATCCAACACTCGACGCCGTCGATTCCCGTGGTCGCAGGCTAACTTACCCTAAAAAGGTACAATATAAATGTGGCCCCGAGGGGTCCGCAAGTCAATAGAAATCAACGACAGATGTTCTGGAGTCCTCCGCCCCCTCTGCGCGCTATGCGAGGTAACAACTGAGACTAGGAGTCAACATCACGGGCTGGAGAGAATGAGGTACACCCCCTTGGTTCAATCTTGGTACTTTACAACGCAAGCAGAGACAAGGCCATCTGGCACAGAAAAAGAGAGAACAGAGAGAAAAGAGAAAAAGAGAAGAAAATAAAAGAAAACAGAAAGGAAAGAGAAAATGAAATAACAAGAGCGAGGACAAAAAGGGGACCAGACCGAAAATAACAACAAACAAGAGACAGAAAAAGGCACACGGTGGAGAGACCACTAACGACAAGCAAACACGCAAACATGGCCACCAACCAGCGATACATTGCAATGGTACGTCATCACTAGTGGGGGGTTGGTGCAATGGTGCAGCGTTGGGGCGGGGGGAATTGGCTAAAAGAAATTCAATCCGGCACGTATCGCGCCACTCGGTCCGTCTCTTCTCGTTTGCTTTCTTCCCTCGCCGTCTCGTCCGTCTCCTGCCCCCCTCCCGCCCCATTGGTTGGTGGCTTGTGGTTTCGTTTGAGCGCCCGTTGTCGGCTGGCCTCTTCTCCCTTCTCGTGCCAGGAGGTCATGAACCTCTCAGCTCCCTGCAGCACCGCCGCATGCCAGGGTACTCCCCCCTCTACCTTCGCGGCTTCCGTCCACTTTAACGTCGGTGCCGTGTCTTTCGGTACCGGGATTCCGAAACAACATGGATCGGTTTTCGTAGATCCGTGGTCGGCCCCGAATGCCTTCAGGTCGTCGAGCACACTCTTCGGCCAGTTCTGTTCCTGTCCCCCCCAACGTCGCTTTTCCACCCCTGCCAGTTCGCCGAACATCAGTCGTT